ACTTTTATAAACCGTGAAAGCTTCCAACTTTTCCACCTCGAAACTCCACGGTGTTTTAAAGTTGCGAACATTTCGAATTCGAACCTCGGTACGGTCGAAAATATCGAAATCTTTCGGATTCGAACCCCAGTTCGGTTCGAAAATATCGAAATCTTTCGGATTCGAACCCCAGTTCGGTTAGAAAATATCGAAACCTCTCGATTCCAACTTAGGGTGGTTCGCGGCATCTCTAGTGATGAGTGGGGCAAGAAGGGAAGTCTTTTCGTTTTTTGTTAGGAGATAGCCAAACTTGCATCAAGCGAACCTCGTTTTCTCTTTGTTTTGTTTAAACAATCCTTCTTTGTGTCTTTTTCTGTGTGTCTTCAACGCTCCCACTGTCCTCGTCTCCTTCAACTTCCGACACTTCGAGACACGAAGGAGGAAGGCGGGACGTCGCATGCGAGTACTGTTCCAGCGACACAAACGACAGTAATTGCTACTGGGACGGAGTAAATATAGTAATGTTTCTGATCAAACCCGACAATACGGCAAAACTAAATTAAGCATACTCGTGTATTTATTCGGTTGCTCCTGTGTATAGAGCCTGACTTCTCATTCCCATGTTGCGCAGCAAAATGATATATTTCGAAGAATATTTGCTAGACGAAATCCCATTTGTAACTTGGTAATGCGTCTTTTCGTCCCGGAAATTAAAAGCTTTCCGCCTATACTCCGTTCCACCTTGAGTCCGAGCGCAGTGGACGCCACGAGCTATCCCAGCCGATCCAGCGCTGGCAGAAAATCGCTGACCTGCCGGTTGGGCAGAGCGACACAGGGAGCTCAAGGTCACATGACACCCTCTCCACGCTGGATTGGCTGGGATGGCTCCTAGCGTCCGCTACGCTCTGACTGAAGGTGAAACGGAGTATAGGCACGTGTACACATCATCCCGGGTGTTTCACCGAACTTCGGCCAAACGTTTCCTGAAAAAACTGCGCATCCAGTGATTTCCCTACACATCCCCTACGGGGTGTGTAGGGAAATCACGGTGTACCCCCCCCCCCCCCCCCTCTAAAAATGTAGACACCCCTTAAGTTCAATTCCTGGGGAAACCCCTGTGGGCATCGCTGACAAAAATTGTTGGTGCCGTGTTAATCACTGCCTTTAAAAAAATAATAAATAAATAAATAAATAAATACTTTCAACCCTCGAAAAAAAAATACCCTTACCCTCAAAAAAAAAAAAATAATAATAATAATCACTGCCCGCGGGCCATTTCGGTGAGGTACATGGCGTGGCAAGATAATTATATTACTCTTGCATAATTAACTTCTCGGTTCGGAAATCTAAACATATGGTTCCAATTAGAAACTTGCTGCGCCTTAGTAAGAAACACCCGAATCAGATAATTTTGAAAATATGTAAGGGCCAGGGTGTAACAAAAATATCCATAAGGAACGTAAAAACCGCGAGGGTGAGTCTAAGTGGGATGAATTTCCAGGAACCAGAAAAACAAACCACAAGCTCAAAAGCTTTCTAAATTTGACTGATTTAGTGCATTTCGATGACACCCGTAATGACCCTAACTCGAACTGTATTTGTCCATGTGTACCAATATAAAATTGAATTGAACGAACTTAGTCATCCTAAACGATATATTTGTACCTCAAGGAATAGGAGGACCATTGACCGTGACCAATACGGTGCCTATTTTATTTTTGAGCGATGCGTAAATTTCACACCATAAGTTTGACCGCTCTTGGGTAAAACGCACAGTGCAGTTCACCTAAACAGTCAAAGATAGCAGACGCGCTGCGAATGCACTTAAATGTTTGCGTGTGGATGGGCCGCGGGGGTTCCAATCTGGTACCAACGAACGGCTACTCTGACGAATCAGAAGTAGGTTGTATATCACTCGCAATGTACTGTGCTAAGGTGAGTCTCAAATGTCGCGCGGTGCAGCACATCCAACGAATTCCAGACCAAGAGAGCGCGTGAAACGGAAACACTTTTCGTTTCATTTTATTGTATTCGGGGTAACTACGGTGGCGCCTTTTGGCAATGCAGTGGGGGCTACCAAAGAAAGAAACATAATGGCAGGGAAAAAACTGCGAAAAAGCACAGGTGCCAAAAAATACGAGCAGATGAAATACAACTTTTGGTACCGGCTTTCACGTCAACGTAAAAGCCGATACTGAATTAGGCTACCATAACAGGCGCTTAAATGTGCTTGCCGAATTTCCCCGCAAATAAACACTGAACCCAACTGCTTAAACCCAGAGTAATGTGCAGGCTCCGCCAATCACCGGGGCGAAAAGCTTTCTGCATCGCCGTCAGCCGGTGAAATGCAAGTCATGAGGCGCCTGAAGTTCCGACGCTGCCGAGTGGTTGTCCAGTGTTTGCCGCAAAATACAAAATCAGTAGAGGGGACAGGTAACCTAAAGTCCCCGTAAAAAGAAAAGTAACGTCATTCCCCCCCTCTCTCAGCCTCCCCCTCCTCTATTGGGCAGGAGATCGAACTATAGGGGGCGCTCTGACCCGTTTGTTTTCCCCACGCTTGGTGTTTACTCAACACAAGGCCTGTGCACACGCCGACAGGCCTTATGGGCATGGCCATGTCATCTTCTACAATAGAGCGCGGGGCGCAGTTTAATGTAAAAAAATACTAACAATCGACGAAGCGACGTTAAGTGCCGGATCTATCCTCAGAGAATGCGAACTTGACCCACTTCGGCTTTTGTGCTGAGCTGGAATCGTGCATGCTGCATTGTTCATGCAGGCCGTAGTGGAAACAAAACAGCCCCTCCTCCCCCTCGCCGGAGAACACGAACTCCAGCCGAACGCTGACGCCGCGTTCGGTTATGTCGGCCGAACGCTGCGTCATTGTATTTGTTGTCCCCATCCGTGTAGTTGTTAGGTTAACCGCTTGGGGCGTCACGGTCTGTCCCCCTCCCCAATAATTCCACAACGCCTTTTTTTTTTTTTGCAAGGTTAGCGCGTGTTAATGAATAGGGAGTTTTCGTAATTAGGGAGTTTTCGTAGTCCCGCAACGCTCTCCGCAACCCTTCGCGATACCCGGGACTCTACAGCCAAGGCCACTGGCGCGCAGGCGCAGTAGCGGCTTCATCGTCGCGGAGGGGGGGAAACGCGGTTTACGAAAACTCCCTAATGTGCACTCCCTTGACGCCGTGATTGGCCTCGGCGCTTCCCTCCTCTTCTCCCAGCCTCTCCCTCCCTCCCTCCCTCCCCTCCCCTCCCCTCCCCTCCCCTCCCCTCCCCTCTCCCCCCCCCCCCCGGCTGCCCCATGCCACTTTTGAGCGAAGGCGGGAAACGTTTTGAACGATGAATCGCGTTCCTTTTAGATGCGCAGGGCGTTCAAGGTAGCCCAGCAGAGATACGCAATTAGGCTATAATTGCGCTACAAATTTCAGCGCGCATGACACGAGGCAGCTGGGCGGATGAAAAGCTAGGTACATTCTTTTTCCGTGAAAGAGGGTCTCATTAACCGAGCCAAGTCCTCGCCACAGCCACATACACTGGTTCGACGGTGCAAAAATAAATATTTAGACAGGAGCAGAGCACGTGCAGTTGACTGCGAAAGGCAGTACACTCGTCTTGAAAACGGCTTCTCGCCGATGCGTAATACTGTTCCAATTTTGATGGGATCAACGGAACACGTTAGAAAAATCAGATTGGGCTGCCTAAAATGGGACCATTGAACCAACAAGGAGAAATGGCCGGGCAAACCCTCAAGGTGACGTAATGCCGAGTATTCAAAGTACGCTGTCCCCCCACTCCCCCCCCCCCCCCCCCCCAAAAAAAAAAAAGACAACAGAAAAAAAGGGGGGGGGGGGCAAAAAACAAAACAAAAAGAAAAAGTTTTTTTTTTTTTTTTTTTTTTAGCTTTTGATTAAGGCACAAATGATCACGGTAGACTTCTGGTACAGAATGCTGAGTATGCCGAAATATTTTAAATGTACTGCCAAAAACCTCGTTATCTCGGTAGACCGCATCGTTATTCGCCCTGCGCATCATGCCGTCGATTCTGGCGTGCACAATTAGGAGCCTTCGTTATTATCTATAATATAATGCGAAGCTACAAGATAGAACATGCAGGGTTTCAGATATCCATTTTGAATTTTAATCAAGGTTTCGAACGATTTCAAAGATCGTTTATCCGAACTTCTGAAGTGGTTTTCTTAGTCCACTGAATTGTACGGAAATATCCACGGAAGACCGGGAATTAACCAGTCATTGACTGTATCCGACGATATACATAATAGGAACAAATGAGAGAGAGAAAAAATTGCGTACTTTTTTTGTGGCTTCGGACCAAGAAAAAGTGCTTGTGCGTCTGATATTCTCGACTTTATCCCGCTGAAATAAGAGTAGCAGAATAAGAATCAGGAGCTGAGAAGGCAATGAGCGGGACTACTGCCGCTTTCTGGTAGCCGAAACATGACCTTTCAATTTTACGCACGAAGAAAAAAAACAACATCAAATGACGATGAAGCAGGATAACAAAGGGGTCTGATATTCAAAGTTATTTTTTTTATCTTCGTATTTTTCGATAACAGCAGCAGACGACACGCGTGGCGCTTGTATGGGCGGGAAGTCCCGATCATTGGCCGAATCATCCGCCAGGCGGTTCCGGGCAGTATAAAACGACATTGTCGGCGTGCCGCGCGTCCCTAAGGCGACCCAGAGATCGCCCCAAAGTGTGTGCCACGAGTCCATTCAGCGCCCTATGTACAACGAGGCGGTCGCAGACGCCGTTCCACTTCACACATTGTCGGCCGTCTCAAGACAACCCAACACCGCCGCCACCACCGCCACCACTTCAGCATGTTTTCTTCGGTAAGGAAACACCCAGAAATGTACGAGGAAAGAAGAGAAAAAGAAAACCGTCTGCTCGCGTTATGCGCAACTTCGGCGCTGCTCGCGAGTACGAATAGCGGCGCAGCCAAAACCGCCGGCGGAACCGGAACCCGCACCTGCGCGTCGCCGCCGCCGGCCGCCGCTCGGAGTGTTTATGCCGCCGAAGCACGTGGTTCGATAACCTCCCTCTCCGCTTACGGGCCTCGCACAACCCAAGTTCTCCTTTTCGGCCGGGTAGCAGCGGACCGTGCATTTGTCGCCGCGCTGTGACTGGCAAGTGCGCCGCTCGCGAACCTCGGCTGGTCAGCCCCAACGTGTGCCCCGGTCGGATTTGCACCACTTCGAACTGAGGAAACGGGGGAACGAAAAAAGGAAAGAAAAAGAATACTCTTCCTACTCAGTCGCCACGTGTTACTGGAGGAAACGGTGTTCATGGTGAAGTATTACTCCCTTTTTCCAATTCTAACGCTAATCTGCCGGCGTTTCGTCGCGCAGTTCGTAAGCTTTGTCCGGGTTCCGACTCTCGCCGATATTCTGCGCTCGAGAGCGTATATGCCTATTCGAACGCGAGGCAGCAGCCTGCAATGGAACCCTGTCGCGAGCCGGCGTGCAGTTTGGAACGGCCAACCCTCGGTGAGCCGGCCCGTGTCTCGCTCCTGCTTGCTCGCTTCGCGTCCCCCTACACGCATTTTCCGAGCAGCGGTCTCAGAAACGCCCAGGTTAGTTCGTTTCGGGGCTGGGAAGATTCGGTCCTGCCAGGAAGTTTTCCTTCAGGGTTAGTGTCCTTGACGAGAGAAAAAAAACAAAACTGTTCGAGGAACAACCCGAGCCTTTTCGTCGTCGGGGGAGGGGAGTACCCACTAACCCGTGTATTGCGTAGTCTGCGGAAGTACTACGGCAGTGTCCGTCGATTTGCCACCTTTTCGATTTCCTAGTCGGTATTTTTTTTATCATATTTTATTCGCCCTTCCCTGCGAAAAGACGCCGGCGTCGAAGGCCACCTCACCGCATGTGGTCGGGCTACGTAGAAGAACCGTCGTGTCCACCCAGCGTAAAGGTAGTCAATTTTCCACTGGTTCCGATTGGGACTTCGCAAATTTGCGTGTTGAGCTACGAGCGTTCTCGAACCAAAGGCAAAGTGCGTAGTTTGTCTGCGCGCATAAAAAAGTAATCTAAAGCGCGGATGTCTGTAACGTGTAGGGGAAGGGGGGCCCCACGAGGGCGCGACGTTGCAGTGAGACTCGAATATTGACCCCCGGTCCGAAAAAACTGTCAGATTAGGGGCCATACGAATGCAATGCACGGCTCCGGGACTAGATTCGATTGCTGCGCACATTGTACTCGCAATTCGCTCCTTTTTTCGAAGGAGCGAACGGAGCTGCGCAGCACTGCCTATCAATCGTTTCCTAAACCGCGACCTTTGCTGCTGCTCGCATCCTTTACCGAAGCATTTTTGTATGCCTGTAATAGCCCGGGATCCTTTGCACTTGCATCGCATGGCTCCGACGCCGGCGCCGTGAATCGAACATCCTTTGCACGCCCCTGCTCGCGTCGGCTTAAACGTTCCTTAAAAATTGGAAATTGTTAACGAGCACGTGTTTGTCTGTCTGTAAAGTATGCCGACAATGGGTCGGAGTGGTCAACGTGTATATTTGGAGAGGCCTGTGCATAAGTTGCTGCAAACTGCCAAAAGCGCATAGCACGTGGCCTGTTATGCTGTCGAAATGCGCAACTCAACCGCGAGTCTTTGCCTGTTGGTGCGATAGGGGTGTACTTACCAATTGCTCTAGAAATATCAGTAACCAGGGCTAAAATAACAGTGGATACACTTGCTTCCCCTATACGAATCAATGTAGCATAAAAAAAACGCTTTAATTTTATATTGCCAATTGTAATGGCAGGGTCATGATAAAGGTTTCCATAAGTTATCTTGCTCATGTCTTGTTTTCATTAGTCTCCTCAGCTACGTTCTTGCACTTTCTCTGATTTCTTTATGGTGGATGGGCATGACATCGTGACAAAACCTGCTATTAGAGCATTCCTCTGCACAGATCCTTCATCTCTTTTGATGTGTTGACGATGGCCGGGACAGTGTGCCCTTCTTGGCAGTGTCCTCAGGCTCTTCTTACAGCTGGTCTGTTTGCTTATTTCAGCTTCATCAGCCCTTCGGCAACCTTCTGGATGAAGAGGTTGGATTAATGGAGTCTCAGACCGATCACAACTACAACAGAATTTTTCAGAGTTTTAACACTATGCTTGACAACACCATTGATTTTGGTACCTTGGTGGATCGCCGACCCCTCAGTAGGCAACCTGGTAAGTACGTCCTTCGCATATCTGTGGCAGTAGCAAGTCAAAGTCTGTGTGTGCGAGGTGGCAGTTTACAGGATATTTTGCATAAAACATTTCTGTTCTAAAAACGAAATATGGTGAGAGTACCGGTGGTTTAAAGGTGTGCTGGTTGATTAGTGCCAAAGTGCCGTGCTGTGGCTCCGCACTCAACGTTGAAAACATTGGTAGTTATCATTTGGGTTTTTTCTTTGCTATTTATGTGTAGTGCATTACGCTTTTTCTCAACATGTCAGTGGTATATTTATGCTACAATAGGTGCACACAATGTGTATGACAGTCAGTGGGACATGGTGTGAACATGTAGGTGTTCTTTTGCAATTTGCTTAGTTTGTATACTGAGTTACAAATTTTTACCACCTAAGTTGTTGCCCTAGGCAATCCCCTTTCACCAGAAAGGTAGTTTTGACAACAGCTTTCCAATCAACTGAAAAAGAAAAAAAAAAAAGAAAAAAAAAAACTGGAAAAGTCTGCACCGCATTGCACTCTGTACTTTCACAATTTGCAGCATGAATTCTATTGCACTACGCAAGTTAAAAAGATGCCCGGGTGGTATTGAGATGTGGCAGATGGATTTCATCCCCTCTGATTGCACATATTCTTTCTCACATACTGTGCAGTGTCAATCATTACGACCAATGGAAGAGTAAGCCAGTGATAAGGCCCAGTTAGTATTTCACGTATGAGGTGAACCTATAGGAGTAGGCAGAGCCGTGAATAGAGAGTTTGGTCAATGGGAGGCGCGGGCAGAGTCAGGGCGTGCGACAGAGTCGGAAAGAGGGCTTGGCACGCTCTCTTGTCCAACCACAAGCCGAAAAGAATCCCCTAGCGGTGGTAGCGAGAAATAGTTCTGATCAAAGGTATATGTTCGTATGTAGTTTTAATAAGTACGCAAGAGTGAAGTGTAGTAACTCTTTGTGGTTGAAAATGGGGTGCACGTGATGTTTCAAGATCATGATCACGCAGAAAGATGTAAGAAACGAATGCGCCGCTCAACTGTTTTCCTAGCCCAAAGTGTGACCTCTCAAACGGCAGATTCCCGGCCCTCGGAGCTTGGCGTAAGGATTATGTCGATCGTTCCGCTAGTCGCACTCTTCCACCATCATTTTGGATGATCGTGATTGAAACATCACGTGTACCATATTTTCAGTCACCGAGAGTTACTCCGATGCACTTATCACGTTTTTTTCTCGCAACCATTGCCAGGGATATCGGCTTCTGGTTGGTCACATTCGAATTTCTGAAAACGCCCTGGAACACGCCCAGCCCGCTTTCGGCCAATGGCGCCTCCTCATTTGTCTCCTATACTTCCCAACGAATGGCCAAACTCTACATATACGGCTCTGGGAGTAGGCAGCAGCTTAGCTGAAGATTGCGGCACAGGGCGCTGTGCAAAGACCGCTAACTCCAGAGGCGTTGATGTTGCAATATCAAAAGAGCAGAATAAAGAAACGTGATGTACTAAGGAAATCCAAACCTTCAACTAGGAGATAACTGGGGGTAGACACTAGCTCCAATGCTCTGCGTGTAGTTCAGCTGATTGAAATCTCGAAAATGAGAAGCAACAGCTCAATTGCTTAAGGTGCATTATCAATATTTCATGCTGAAGGTCTTAGCCGCCAAACGGCTGTCTCAAATATTTTCCATTCCCCTTGAAGGAATTGTGTTCATGTCTAAGTATCCTAGTGGGCCAAGCACTGCTTTGTGTTAGCATAAGTTGATGCTGTCCTGGCTGGATGAGAAACTGACGATAGTTTTGTCTGAACTTGTTCCATTACTGTATACCATGATTTTTCAACAAAAACTTTCCTTGTGGTTGTGCAGTCCAAATGGGGTGGGATTTCAGGGCCCGTTTGCTCGAAGCGCCGCTTGCTTTAGAACTAATGTCGTTGTAGCTGCAATATCGGGCGCGTTAGTCAACAATGAATGGTGCAGGAGGCCTTCGCTTTGCCTTACCTCACTTAAATCGCAAGGCATGAGCAATGACCTCGCCGCATTTCTTATATAGTCTTTCGATTCTGGCCATTCCTAAGCCTAAATGAATGCAATAATTGTCGGCATGGCAACGTCTTTGGAAAGCGGATTGCCTTGACTCAATCGGCCGGGTATTCATAGCACACAAAAGCAGACAGTGTTTCAATAGACCTTTTTCTAAATTACCGAAGCATCGAGGAGAACGCTGGAACTGTACTTCTACGGTCCGTGCGCGCTGGCCTTCCTCTTATAAAAGATTCAAAGTAAATAATCATAAGGCTTTGACAAACGCGTGTGCAAGGCGAAAGTTTTTTTGCTTTAGAACAGTTACTACTGCAGACACCACCATGTGTAACGCGTGTAACTACACTCGTAGCATGCACTTCGGTGCGTGGGAAATTTAGAAAAAGGTCTATTGGGACGCTGTCTGCTTTTGTGTGCTATCAATACCCGGCCGATTGAGTCAAGGCAGTTCACTTTCCTAAGACGTTGCCATGCTGACAATTATCGCGTTCATTTAGGCTTAGGAATGGCCAGAATCGAAAGACTATTTAAAAAATGCGGCGAGGTCATCGCTCATGCTTTGCGATTTAAGTGAGGTAAGGCAATTTGAAAATCTCCTGCTCCATTCGGTAATAACTAACGCGCCCAATAACGCAGCTACGACATATTAGTTCCAAAGCAAGCGGCGCTCACTCACCGGGGCACCACCATGTTTCTCTGCATCTCTACCGAGCCAGTCATGTGATTTCTAAATCCCTCTCCTAGGTTCTACGGCTAACTTTAGCCACGGTAAGCGCTTGGAGCAAACGGGCCCTGGTAGTACCGCTCGCAAACTACAATGTAGACTGATGTTTAACTTTGCTTGGCTGTGGTGCCCTAGCTTGATGACTGGTGAAAATGGTGTAATAAAGTGAATTAGCCCTACGAATGTATATTTGGTGTCAACTTTTTTGTGCTACACTGTCAAGGCTAGCATGGTTTCTGCAATGCTCCGGCACTGTCTGTTACTTGCACAGGCGTGTGGCTTTCTTTGGCATCTCCTTCACGTGAGAGTGCATACAGATGGGGAGGCCCAAGATTCAGCCGTGCGGAACTGGAGCACTGTTGTAACTTCGCTAGCTTTGACGATGTAGCGCAAAAGTTGATGCAAAGTATAGCGTGATAGTCTGTCGAGTTCTTATCAAAGTGTGTTGCAGGATTTGTGTGGCATGAACAGGCACACAAATGTAGCTTTGAGAGCAACCAGCCACACATTTGGATCTTGCTGTTTGTTCCAGCTTTATGGAAAATGAAATTTTAACTTATTGTGAATTAAAACTTATTGTGTGTAACTCATTGTCAATTAAAAAGCTTTATGCAACAATGTCAAACATTTCTGTTATATATATATATATTTTTTTTTTTTTGCATGCACTGCTGAGGTTTAGTATGGGCAATTTAAAGGCCGACGACCAGACTCGAGATTCTGCAAGGCAGGATATCCTCCTCACCATGGGGGAGGAGGTAACAGGCAACGGTGGATGGAGAGGAATGGGGGAGAGGAGGAAGCGAGGGAAAAGTAGAAAGCGCGATCTGGTCATCGGTCTTTAAAGGGACACTGACAGGATACTCGTGCTTGCCAAGGTTTTTATTTGTACATGGCATGAGAACCCAACTACCCAGAACACAATTTACGGCTAGAAATTAGTTTTCTTTACGTCCGAAAGTCTTTCTTGTGGCTTCTAAAAAACTGTAAATATGTTGATAGAAAAAAAAAAAAAATGTTGCACAGCTACGTGATTTTGTGGTATCTTTCTTCTCCCCAGTCCAGTCAGGGTTTCGAGCAGTTGAGTTTTTCTTTATTATTTGATTATAAATATATGTGACACTATAGCAAAATATTGATTAAGTAGTCTCCCAACACCATAATAACCTGACAAAAAAAAATTGGGTGTTCGTGTTTTTTTTTAAATATTTTTGGAAGGAACACAATTCCAGTTTTACTTCCTTGCAACTAAATTGTTTTGCAAATTTTGTGCTTGTTATTTTAGAGGAATCAAAACAGCATTGGTGCATCTCTGCGGTACAACCTGTCTGTAAAGCTTGTCTTTTTTTTTTTTTTTCCATACCCCGAATAGTTTTGAGTGTCTAGAACACGCGCAACATTTTTACTGTTGATCGTCGGTCACTGGAACCTATTGCCATCCTGCCAGCATTCGCATAATTTCCTTGAAGCTTACATTTTTTTTGTATGTGCAGAAATGCAGATGAAGCAGTGCAGCTCATTTTCATTTGCATACAGCTTAAAATATTGCAATTTCGACTCATTAATATTGCTGGTCAAGTAGAATCCTTTTTATGATGATGTTGTGCTAAAATGTGGCAATTGCCTGCTTCAATATACCATTTCATTTTTTTTTTACAACAAATATAGCTTTTCAAGTGTGGTTTCGGTGGTCAGCCAAATTTTCCCAAATTGAAAGATTTTGCAGACAAGCACCACAAGTACACTATTGCTTCATAAGGTATTGCTACAGAATTTACAAGCACTGCAAGGCATTCATGGCCTCCCATTGTTATGGAAGAAAAACTAGGTAGTCAAATTAATCTGAATGAGCAGTGGTTTCACCAGAAAGTTTCTATTCTGAACATAAAACTGCATGCTCCTTTCTTGTCTTGTCAATTTCCTTTAAAACAAATATTCCCAGAGGTAATAGAAAAGCGAGAACAGGAAAAGCTGTTCTTCACACTTTTTAAATGCTATACCATTTATGAGATAACCCTAAGCACTCTTGTGTCCATCCTTCAGTCTGTAACCAATTAAAACAAATCCAGATGCATTTGTTTTAATTGGTAAATGGGGGAGTGACAAGGGGACAAGTTAAGAAAGATCAAAATGCCGAATGTTTGAGGGAAATCAAACGCATGACCCCAAGATTGTGAGCTCAGCACTGAGCCCCTTTGCCGACGAGAATTTTGAAGCAGTAATCAGTAACCTTTTGACAATGTTTTTTTTTTGTTTTTTTTTCTCATTGCTTTTTAGTGGTTTGGTTTGCAAGGGACTAGTATAAAGAAAGGGTCAATACACAGGTTTTTTTCTTAATTACCTAGTGAAAGCACATACAGTGCTTGCAAGCTGTTTAGGCTCAAAAGCATCACATAAAAGTATTGAAGGTGAAAAGTTGTCACCTTTCTTCTGTTTGGTTTCATTTTGGGCATCTGCTTCCGCAACATTCCAGCGGTAGAAGTACTTTACAGAACTTGTATGTCAGATAATAAGCTCCCATCCTCTCAGTTTAATTCCAAAAAGCATTGGAAGTTTGAATCGGAAGAACCAATGCTCCGCTCCCATTGACACTGCCGCCAGAGCGGCCAATATGCAAAGCGAGTGTCAAGTGCGCAAAGAGTCTAATTTGAAAGCTGTAGTGTAAGTAGTACCAGCAGGTAGCTTAATTTATGTTTATGCACGTGTAGTAAGAGGAACATTTAAAGTTGTTAGGTTGCCGGAGGCCCATCAACGGGAAGTAGTTTGATCAGAAAATTGTGTGAATTAAGTTTAAGTCCAATAAGACTCCATGGACGTCGACAAGGTTTCCTAAAACTTCCACAGCAGTTTAGTACAGAAACATTTATGCAGTACAAGACGGTGCCAAATGCTATTGCATTTCAACGTCAATCTGTGCAGCAATTTCGGCAACAAATTTGTGTTCTTCACAGATACTATTGTTTTTTGCAGCCAGAAACTAGACTATACTATTTCTTGTAATGCGGCTTTTTTTTTCTGATATGAAGGGGAATATCTGAGATCTGTACGGTATAGGGTTTATCCAATATTGCACTAGTCCCAGTTGCTAAAAAAAAAAAAAGGTTCATCTTGGTCCAGTCATTTCCGACTAATGTTGCAATGTTCAACAACCGTTTTTAAACAATTTGGAAGTGTATGCCTTGCACACATAACCTCTGTTCCACTTTATATTTAATGTTTGGAGGCCACATCTTCAATTGATAGGAGTGATTGACTGGACCAGTCTTTTTGCATTGAGTATTTTCATCATGAAAATCTCGCGTTTAATTCAGTTAATTTTACTTCTATTCCAGATAACAATGTTGAGGACTGCTTCAATTTTAATGGTTTGTACTTCCAATTTTATTTTTCTAATATAGTGCTGTTCATTGTTACTTTCCTTGTTCTCCCATTTCTCCTTTCATCCCATGGTACTATATTTACCAGAACTAAATCAGTTGCTCCTATGAGATATGCTCATACATCTCAATGGACCCTTCCTTGCTACTAATATGGTACATTTTGATGAAACGGACTCCAAAATTTTCTGCAAAGCTTTTGGTAGTAGCTCCTACTACATTGTTGCAACGATAGGTTGTCGGTGCCAGACAACAGTTCTTCGCAGGCTCTGTCATGGGACTGCTGATATTTCCAAAGACAAGGGTGCCAATGCCCAATCCAGTGTCGTTGCTTATTTTGTGTTTGTAAACTATTGGAACGTCTCCGCTGTTAAAGTGGAGATTGCACACATGGTAACTTGTCGAGAGTAATTTTTGCCTGTGCGCACTATAATACAGTGCCAAGCTTTTTTTTTGTAGTTGGTTTAAAAAATGTTATTTTTCTTTGTTGATCTTGTAACTGCTCATACACCTTATCAAATTCTTCTTTCTCCGGGTATTCTTCAATTTTTTTCTCTGGGGCAAATTTGGGTTAAGGGAAGGGCTGATGCATTGAGGGTGATATCATTAAATGTGTGTTGCTACCTGAAGGAACTGTACTCTCTGTCTTTGTCCCTACACATTTTATTTTTTCGCGTTTTTTTAAATTTGAGAAGAATGTTTTACTAAACCATACTTAACAAGCTGTACGTATTCGATCAATGCAAAGATGCCGCGAGCAAGCTGCCACAGCTGGCTGCTGCATGACACTGTCAGTACCAACGTACAGAACTGAAACATGCAAAGGTTTGGACACGGAGCCGGGTGGAGCCAGCATCGCTCTTAATACTTAGCCAGCCACTCGAAGCGCTATCGTTGACTATAGAGTGGGACCCAAAATATTTTGGACTCGGCCACACAGCGAGAGTTTCTCAACTGGTGCGAAGCTTCTAGGGACGTTTGTGCTACCATTGACTACCTGACATTGTTCATGAAAAGTGTCTTGATACCAGTTCAGTCCTAGGTTTCAATGATACATTAATTTAATAGCACGCGAGTTTCTGGCAGTTCTCAAACAGAACCAACAACCCTCGGATAGCTTTTAAAACAAACTTCTCTGCAATGTACAGATTTGTGCACACAGATACTTGCGATCGTGACAAGGTGAATGTAAATATGCAATCTCTTACGAAGCAGTCATAGACAGCAAATCGGAAAGCACGGTGTAGGCAGTTACAAAAAGGGTATGAGTCGTTGACCGTTTTAACATCGAGTGCGGACAAGACTGACATGCATACAAGGCCTTGTACTGTGTCCAGCTTTGTGTGTGTCATCTTCCCCCAGAGGCAACTAAGAGAGGTGCATGTGTGACATGTCTCGCTGTGTGCAGGGCTTAACAGCGGTAGCAGCAACAGCTTGAGGAGTGGACTCCTGCAGGCTGGCAGCCTGTCTGGGTTGCTGTCCAACCCAGCCTACTTGGCAGCCTACCAGAATGGCAACGGCCCACTGCCCTCCTCACCCTCCCCTGTGAGGTTTGCAGATATGACGTCCTCCCTCAACAGGCTGCTCAGGCAGGGGACGCCAGTTGCAACCCCCATTGGCTCTGGACCTCGTGCCATACGCTCGGCATCGCCTCAGTCTCCGTACAGGTGACGCTTGTGAACTTGCTCGTTTGAAGTGCTCTTTTGAGACGTGCGAAACACTCACAACACTTGTGATTAAGTTCAAATAGAAGGGCGAAAGGTGTAGACATTGTTTACTTACTTAAAACTTGGTAGTCAAAGCAATGGTAGAAAGAGCTTGAAAAAAAAATGAGTAGACTTTCTAATGCTGAATTAGAGCGCAGCTCTTGGAGGAGGAGGGGAGGGTATGCCCCTCGCCTCCCCTCCTCCTCCCCCCCTCCCATCTAGCGGGAAATTTTGCTACAGTTCCCACTAAATTCAGCAGAAAAAATTCCCTGCTAAATTTAGCAAGGAAATTTTTCCACTAAATTTTGCGGGGTATTTTTTTTGCTAATCTTAGTTAAGAAAAATTTCCTACTTCGTGACGTCATTATAGGAAACTTCCAATGATGCAACTTGTGGTTATGGCAACGGCGCTTCAGCCGGAAACGGGCGCTGAAAAGCTGCGCTCTAACAGAATAAAAAAAATAAATAGCGAGAGAGGTGGTGTACGTATCGCCAAGACATCAAGGAGCCGCATGGCTTTCAGCGTGAGGCTTCAGAGAGCTTCTTTATTATTGGCTACATACCTGTGTCTGTGTGTTAATGGACATGCTTTTTCTAGACTTCTGCTAACATTGCTTAGAAATAAAGCATGTCCATGTGTGCTGTAATACTACCACCTTGCCAAATGCTTGACCATACTACATTCCATTGCACCAGTGCTACTTCATTTGAAGCAAATGAAGTAACCACCAGAGCAGTCAGTGAAGTGACTGTATTCTGGCTGAAAAACACTTCAGGAGATCAGAAAAATAAGTTTTGGTTTTGCCTTGTGTTGCCTTTGTTTTATGGCCTGTACTGAGTTAGTGTACCTAAATGTTAACAGTCCAGCTTGGTTAGTGTGCTGAAATTTCACACTGGATGCACTGTGCCACATTTAGTTCAGGTAGGTGGAGTGCGAGCTGTTTCTCAGTAAATGCAGGCCGAGGAAGAACCAATATCCAATTAAGCCACCGAGGAATGCAAAGAACTTGTATGAGGGTTGGGAAGTCTTTCTTAAACTCTGGGCACTGACATTTTCAGGGTGTCTTCAGAGACTCTATTACAACAGATAACATTGCCAGGGTATTTAAATTGAATAGGCTAGCCTGTAGATAACGGCTAGGAAATCTATGGTATGCAGGGGTTACATGTAACTATTGGACTCTTGGTCTCTTACGAATACATAGCTGCTCACAGTCTGCATGTGTGCATATGTACCATATTGATGCGCAGTTCCAAAGCAATAAAACCTGTGCCAAATTTCCCGAGCACCAAGGAGAATACTAAGAATGTAGGCACAAGCACTCATGCACTCGTCTTGCCAGTACGAGATATTAAGTAACATAAGTTGTATCTTAATGTTACGGATGAAGTCAGGAGACAATATATGCAGCCTTTTTCGAGATCCTCCCACCTTTGAAGGCGGCAAAGTTTTAGCAGCAACACAAATACATATGTACTAAGTATGACTATGCTAATCAATGTGCTTCAGTCGCGCAGGGCTGCAAGTGGTTTTCCTGCGACGCGCGGTGCAAGTAGTCCAAAAAGTATGCAATTAATTTTTGCTAAAAAGTTGGTGCGGAATCGATATCGGAAGAAATACAATAATTTCATCTCGCACCATAATGTAGTTCATGGACGTCAACTGCCTATTCAAGAAAAATCTCTACTGTTTTTGTCATTCACACAGGAGCATGCCAAACATGTGGTTTCTAAGTGCCGAAGAGTGGCGTAAGCGCTCACTCAAGTTGATCCAAATGTCAAATATATGCAAAATTCTACTTTCCGAATTCATCAAACCTTTAGACTTGTCTGGCTGTTTCACAACATACACATTTCAAAATTGCGGAGAAAGGTCACCGTAGCGGGCGGGAATGCTACTTGTTGTAGCCCACAAAATGAAAATGCTTTCGCGCGGAGCGATTGGCCAGAATAATCCATGGCTTCTTCTACGGCAAATAGAAGGTTGAAAAGAGGTTTATTTAGAAAGACGGTGAGGTCACTCCATGCAGTTAAAACCTCGCAGAAGCCAGCCGGGCCTTATTGCAGAACTGCACTGGCAAGGCTTAAGTCCTCCCGATTGGCCACCTCCGAAATACAGTTTCTCCGATAAATGCAAACCACAAAACACTTCGCTTTTGGGTGCTTATGCCACTTTTTCGCATTTATGAGAAATACACAACTATTTAATTGTATTCTTTCATAGACATGACATTTTGTAATGTGTTAAGAAAAGAGGCTGGCCCCTATGATTCTGGATATTGTCAGTCAGTCAACAACCAAAGCTACAGCATTGTTTCTTATGGTGAATTCCACTGGTTAATTCAGAGTGCTTTCCGAAAAATCATGAGGAGGGCAACATTTCACTTCATGGGACCCGCGCTGAATCAACGAGCGGAAGATACTCGCATTTTTAAAGCGACCCACCGACCCGGTTAGCTGTTCAAAATGGCTGCTGCTTGAACTTGACAAGCCGACCAGCACCTCAGCCGACCAGCACCTCAGCCGACCGATCTTTCCAGCAACCAGTGATAGCTGTCACTGCTTAGCTGCAGAAATAGCACTCGACACAGGCCGGGCGAAAATATCTGTACCACGGAGCCCATGTCACAAATAACGAAGACGTCTGTGTTCGCCACAGTCACATGCCTTTTGGCTGCCTTGAAGCGCCGGGGCACACACAGCGATTGCCATCGGTGGAGTTCAGATTGCTGGTACGACTTTAATAAAAACAGAGGTAACAAACCATTACTTGTATGGTCGTTGCCTAATCTGTTTTTGCCTTATTGTACGAGAAAACACCGTTGGCATGCAGTGTAAAAAGGTAAACAATCGGTGGCGGCAAAATGAACAATCCTAACCTTGTGTCTGCCTCCTTCCGAATTTGTCATTCTTTTTCTCGTTCTTCCTCTCACGATCACAGATGTCAGCGCTTGCGATTTGCCACGCTCCAGTCCCGGCTTTGCATCCCTTATTTTAGGCAGGAGCGTCCAAGCCGCTAAGATCCCGTGTAAACAGACGCGTATTTCAGAGTTAAAAAATCTCTGAAATCCTGCGGATCAAGTTCAACGGGGTTGGGGGCGCTCCACAGGGCAGGTGTTACCAAAGATCTACGAGCGGAAGACGACCAACTTGAGCCGAATCTGCGAGCTGAATATGCGTGCTCCAAATGGAGCGCTTTTGGAGCACTCGAGATCTGCAAGCGGAATTCACCATTAGTCGGAGGCCCGCAAGGTTCCCAAACAAAACTCGGTTTGGCCCGTGCCATTCTTTAGTTCTGCAATCCTGGTATGGGCATCAGATTACCAAGCAACACATAGGTGATTCCATTCCCAACGAGGGACAGGTTATTATATCTTTTTTAACATATTTTGACATTCTAGGCTCAAAAACTAATTCTTAAAGTGCATTCTGAGAAGTGCTAAGGTGCAAATTTTTATGCTTTAACCTTGGATCAGTCAAAATAATTGGGGTGTGGTGTGTTTATACGGTCTGAACTTAGTCTGCTTTAATAGGCAACTTGTCTCATAGCTGTAGATGATAAATTTAGCCAGTGCACTACAACCGCTAGCCTGTGGCCTTCAACGTGTTTCGCGCAGTAGTGATGCACGACTGCACGCCGGTACGATGCTCATCCTGGTCAATACGAGCAGAGGTGGGATTTAAACCCTGGATCTCTGGGTTCTGCGGCACGAGCTTTTGCTCCACGTGTTGGAACAGTTACTGCAACAGATATTTGCGTATGCTGTGTGTGTAACTCAAGGGTGGAACTCGTGAAATGTACTTAGGAGCAGCTGAAACAGCTGGGTTGAGGGCAGCTAAAACTACATTCTGGAGCAGGCTAGGAGCAGTTCGGATCAGTTTTCGTTGCACTTCAGCTTGAGTCTTAGACAAGCACGGGTGCAATTTCAATTGTGCTTAGCAGCACAGATGAACATGAGTTGTTAGGAACCTAAGTAGATGGGATAACAGTGTAACAGATGCAAAAACTTGAGACCTTGTGAGCCTTAATGAGAACCAAAAATTAAGTACCATATGTTAACTGAAGATAGTGTCCTTGATATTTTCTAAGTGGCTTTCAGCTGCTCAAAATGCAAGCCAGCATTGCTTATCGCACAACCCACACGTGCTCAACATAGTCATATGTGCGAACCACGTGACGTGCGTAAGCAACGGACGTGCAGTTGTGCGGAGGAACAGGGCAACAAATTTCGAGTTTATCCTACTGTGCAACTCAATATTGAAGCAACAGACTATGATTAGTGGAGTTATCGTATTCGAAGCAATAAGCAGGGGCAAGGTTCAAGTACGCCCAGCAGATCTACCGCTCGCGTGAGAGCTGCTGGCCGGCAAGGTTTCAGATCGGACCGCATTTCAGTTCTATCAAACCACAATTTATCTTGAGGGAATGCGGTTCGAGCTTCTAACGATGAAGTACTAAAAGGAATCTTTTGCTCTTTTGATTCCAACTAACTGAGGTCCGGATCCCGGGCCGCAGAGCCTCAGGCAATCTGACGCTTAATGACTCGACCTCACCTCGGCCGACTTGCTTAACCGCTTTTGGTTGAAGAATAACAACCCAGTCGCAGGTGGTGTAACGCTTGGAATCCGACCCCAGAGTTTTTTCGCGCGCTTCTGACTCGGGATACACAGGGAGAATAAACAGAACAAAGGATTGCAAGGCCGACCAAGCTAAACGCGCTTATTGTTGCCAATAGAGTCAAGAGAAACTGAAACCAAGACAAAATACAATTTTTTTTGGCACACGTTTTGTTACTTCGTGCATAATGGTGCAAGGTAATGACTGTGGCGCAGTTCCCGCAACATGGTGCAGACAAAGGCGTCTGGCGCAAATGGCGCAGCCGTTCCACCCCTGGTAACTACATTAGCAGCATGCTCCTTGGTGCTTAAGTGATTTAGCAAAGGGTCTATTGTCTGTTCTATTTACTTTCAACATCAATTGAGCAAATCCAAACTGCAGAGCAGCAAATGATTCAAAATCAAATGGACTTTGTGCCCACAGTGAAGTTTATTAGCTCCCATTCCTCTGGAACCATGCAAGAAAAATTACTTTTGTTTTGAAGTGGCCTTGGCCTTCCTGCCCTCTTCGTTCTCTTGCATTTTAAGTATGAAATTGAACATGAGAGGCCTCAGCCTTCCTGCCTTTCTTATTCTCTTGGATTTGAAGTATGAAATTGAATCTGAGAGCAGTGCATTTTGTTCCAACTAGACAGAATAGATCTGCTTGCAGCTTTGAAGGGTTCTGGCATGCCCTGTGGGGCCAAAGACTTGCCTGCCTCAACACTAACATCTCTGCTATGATTGGTGTCTTTGCTTCAATAGCGCAAGTGTGGATGTGTAATGCATGTTAATAATTGAAGAAAGAGCACACTGAATTGAAAGCTGCAACAGCTTGTTTCTCCTGTCGTTACATTTCAAGTGTGGCAATTAAAAGAGGATTGTCCCACCGACTTGACCAGCATTTCAATTATATGAAGGGCCTTACATGGTATAGTAAAGCTTTGCTCTTTTGTACTTGCCTTGCCCTTTTGCAGTGACCAAGGGAGTCCCACTGTAGAGAGATCCCTGAGCTTTGGCTGCGACATGTTTCGGGACTCGAGAAGTCTTTCCCCAGATTCTGACTCCAGTGGCATCAGCTGCGGAACAGACCTGAGCGCTTTGTCGGATCTGATGGCAAGTGTCACGTCTGGTCTTGTCTTCTCAGAAAATCTCATCCAATGCTTTGGACAAACCTGGCACCTGTGGGAGTCTGCCTAGTATTTACATTGTTTCTGCATTTAACCTTTTCAGTACTGTAGACAGGTCCAGTTTGTTCAGATGGACACTGTTTATGTTCACCCAAAAGCCCTTGTCGTGAGCCCATGAGTCTCTCCTTCCGTTGTATACAGTTTTTGTATACTTCTGCCTGGAATACAGACATTACCTTTTACAGTATTGAAAGGGTTGGATGTTGCTCTGCACACAGGTCCGAGACATTTTTGTCTGACCTGCCTCCATAAAAATTGTTCCTTTATTTCTGGCCTCATAAGAATGTGCCATGCTACAGCAGTTAAGATTGGTGGCCCCCGGAGGTTCAATATTTTACGCTTACTGGTTCAAGCGAAGCACTCTTTGACATCACTGGAATGTAAATTGATTCACATTAAACATTTAGAGATGTCCCAGATAGGCTTTTGGCGGCTGCACCAAACTGGTTGAAAGCAGTAACAGCAGTTGTTTTCTTTCTGTCCAGAGCTCGCTGACAATGACAGGTGCCAACCCAGGCACAATGGCTTTGATGCCCATGAATGGTTTCGGTGCACGCACAGACTTCGACTCCCCCACCAATTCATTCCCCTTCTTCACGGACCAGCGCTGGTCCCCCACCCATGGTAGCCAGCTAGGCTTTGGGGACCCGGACACTATCGAGAAGGCAGCCAAGCTGCACAGATCTGCTGCAAGTGAGCTACCGGACTTGCTCTTTGCACGAATGGAAGTTAGTTTGCGAACCGAAATGAGCAGATTTAGGAGGAAGGCATGTACAAATTTTTACCTTTCCATGCTGCAAGATTAATGTCCTCACACTTCGCGAAAGCTGAAATGATCTTTGACCCTGGGCCTGTGTGCCAATAACAAATGCTCAGCCCTGTACAGTTATAGCGATGGCAGCTCTCTGTATCAGACCGAAATGTATCCTTATACCGATGTATAAGCCCTATGTTCTCTCGCCGCAGCAGCAAGTCTAGCTTTACACGCCACTTCGTCTGCCGAGGTTGGCACCTTGCGTGGAGCAGCCATTGCCAATGTCTGATTGGAAGTGATATTGACGATGTCACTCTCCCGAAATTGCTTATATTTCAATCTGTCACTAAACCTTACGCAGAATTGACTCTTGTGCGGAAAGCAGCAGATGTCAACTCTAGTTTGGCCTTCTAGTCAGTTGTTTCGTGAATGAGCTGGGCATGCAGTGCGTGTGCGAGAGCGCAATGATCGCGCAATGTGACGTGTTACCATGGCGTTGCGCAACACGAAAACTTCACAGTGGAGTGCCGCGTCGTGAAGTCACACGACTGACGTAGTGTCGGTGACGTATGTGATGTCGTGTGATGCATTGCTGTGTGCCAATGTTTGAAGTATAAGTCACAGTCTCTAGAAAACAGAAAGTTCTCCTCGGTCGCAAAATAACTTTGCTAAAAAAAACCTCTAAGGGGAGGAATAACTCTGCATTTCTTCTTAGGTTTCTCGGAGGCCACATGTTGCTGGAGCGGGACCCTGCCCGCCCGCAGCCTCAAGAGCTCCGCGCTATCGTGCAAGGTGTTCCTGGGCGGAGTGCCGTGGGACGTCTCGGAGCCAGGCCTCGTGGAGGCCTTTGCGCCCTTCGGCAACATCAAAATCCAGTGGCCCAGCCGGGAGCGCAGCCAAGGCTTCCCGCCCAAGGCAGGCTACGTCTACATCATCTTTGAGAGTGAGAAGCAAGTCAAAATGCTGCTGCAGTCGTGCAGCCAGGACTTTGTCAATGGGGGCAACTGGTACTACAAGATCTCGTCACGCCGCATGCGCTGCAAGGAGGTGCAGGTGATCCCCTGGGTGCTGAGCGACAGCAACTATGTGCGTTGCCCCTCACACCGGCTAGACCCCAGCAAAACAGTCTTTGTGGGTGCCCTGCACGGCATGCTCAACGCCCAGGGCCTGGCACACGTCATGAATGAACTCTTTGGCGGCGTGCTCTACTCCGGGATCGACACGGACAAGTACAAGTACCCCATCGGTGGGTATTGCAGTCTCATAGCTTCTCATGTGCTCTTCTTTGTTAAGCGACTGTGGTGTCCTGTCAGTTTGACTGCTTTTGGCTACTCTATAGACCTTTCCAGCAGCAGTCTCGAACGAAGCGATTTCCAGCGCACGTCCCTGGTTTTGAGAGTGTACGTCAGTGTTGCCCGACTGCGCTGAGCTGTTGGTTTTCTCGTCAGTAGGCTATGGCAGCCTGCGTAGGAGCAATTTCGAACGCTGGTGGCGGCAAAATCTCCTCGCTTTATTTTTTGTTTAATGTTCTATGGCGAAGAGAATTTCTCAAAGTTAAGAAAGCGTTGAACTATTTTTGGGAACAGAAACAAACTAATGAAACCTATTTTCGGCGAGTCCATGCGCGACAGAACAAATGCAACTGCGATGTTTGTTTCATTTTATGCTGATTTTTTTAACGGCACCATACACTCAGCCTGAGGATAGCCGAACTGCATGGGTATTGCCCGCTCACTATAGGAAATTCAACTAGTCTCATCAATTGAACAACATATATGGTACGTACCCCACGGTGCCGCGCTATTCGAACAGGATTTGAGAAAAGTCTCAACTAACACAGCATATCCAATATACAGCGTCGACGATAGTCACTTCACGACAATCGGAAGGAATCCGGCTTGTCTTGGGGTACGTTTTGAAGAGTGATGTTTTTTTACACAGCACTAAAGCAAATGAACGAACGTGTCTATTCAGTTCCCGGACCTTATCAGCTACTTCTCGCCAAAACCGGGAACATAGCCGGGAATGCTTTTCGGAGATTATCTCAACAAAAACAATCCTCTAAGAACGTCGAACGGCCCGCGTCGCGGGGTGCTTGACGTTCGCTCTTTCCGTTCGCTCTCTTCGTTAGTTTCCTGCGAAGGTTAAGCAGGCTACGAGCCCTGGTATTCCCTGGTTCTCACAGTGGAAGATTACAAAAACAGGCAAGCATCCTCGACAGGCAAATAGAGTAAACGTTTTCAAGGAAAGCCGGCGAACTCCGAACACACAATGCAGGTGGGGAGTCGCACTGACCAGGTTTCCACAGCTCAGGCGGGTGGCAGAAATTTTTGGCTAATAGGGGTTGCTCGAGTCGCAAAATGGTGGCGGCCAGCGAGCTGTTTTTGCAAAGGTCTATAGGAAGATGTTTGCCAGCCCTGCTTCACACGTTTGTGTCTTGGCTATATTTTTGATGCAGTGTGCTTCAACCCTTGCTACACTTGCCAAATGCCCACTTTGTGCTGTTGGCTTGACTGGATATGGCTCATTTGTTCTGTATGGGAGCAAAACATATCTAACCTTAGTATAAGCTGAAGACTGTGTGCTTTACCAGAACTCTGCGAAGGGCATTGCTATTAGGCAGTAGACCCAACAATTCCGACAGTGGTTGGCAAGGGCTTGTATTCAATCCGTTAAAAAGCAATATACAAGTCCCAGAGTAACGCTGATAGCAGCACTCTCATCCAATCTGTGCCCCTAGTTTGATAGAAGTAGATCACATGAGGAATGAAATCAACAGGCCTTGTGTTTGGAAAATGCCGAGCTATGTTGGACAAAGCATCCCCTGTAGTTCAGTTTATTCAACTGCATACATGTGATGGCAGGAAACAAGCAGGCCTTTCTGTCACTGTGTTTAGGGTTGTATCAGAGTGCTATGCAACATTCAGCATTTGCTGAATTGTATTTTGAGGTCTCCATGTTTCCTTGGTTCAGTTTTTTGGAACTACAGGGCCAGCATTGTTGAGACTTGAGTAGCATGAAAAAAAGATGCTGCAAAAATTTGCATCTGTGGCTCTTTTTGTGCAGGATCTGGCAGAGTGACTTTCAACAACCAGAAAAGCTTCATGAAAGCTGTTGCTGCAGCTTTTGTTGAGATCAAGACTCCAAGATTCTCAAAGAAGGTAAGCTATCCTGAAATCTGTAGTCTGCAGATGTGTACCATAATTAACATGCGCGAGCTTGTTCCATTTGGTGTGCAACACCTCGAGGTCCAGACGACTTCCAACTGGGCTTGCCTGTCCCTACTATTAGCGGTGCCTCGTCTGTGGCGACATCAGGCCATTTTGTGACACACTGCTTTCTTCTCCTCTTTACTCTGAATGTCTCCTGGCTCAAGCTCTTAAAGGGGTACTCCGGCGATTTCTTCATAGTCTTTGATTTTTCTGAAAATTTGCTAAACATACAAACAGAATAAGTTCTTTTTTTCGAAGCTTGGTTTTCACCATGTCTTTCAAAGTGAACTGGCAGCAATGAAAGTGATGTCAGTGCCACGCAGGGGTTCACTTTTTGGACTGTACAATTTGTTTCCAGCTGATTACAAGCAATTTCATGATCTCAAATAAATGCTTTGGAAGCTCTCCAGCGACCGTGCAGCAGCACGAAAGAAGTGCTCAGCATACTTAATTTTTAGGGGCGAAGCTCCTTAGGGTCCAGCCTTGTCCGGCGTCCGTGCTCACATCGATTGCCATCGCATCTGTCTGTCATGGATGAAACGCATGTAGCCGCTCAACGTCTACAGGAGAGGGCGCTGCGGTCAAATGTGTATATAATCGCGCTAAACTTTGCATGCATTGATTGGCTCAACATTTATAGACGAGAGGGTGCTGCGGTGAAATGCTCAGATGCGTATATAACCACGTTCCATACCACACATTCTCTTTCTGACATGGACCGTTGACTTAAGCGGTGGAGATGCGTTCCCACGGCTTCTAGCGGATCCAAGCTGATCCGCTAGAAGAACCACTGGCTCTGCATTTCACCGACCATAAAGCAGTAATAATAAAGTCTAAACACAACCTGGAACTCAGCACTACCTATGAGCAATAAAAAAAAAATCGGCACCATCAGCACTATCTATGAACATCAGCACCACCAGAGCTTCACCCCAATCAACATCATTCACCACGTGGAGATGCTGAGATTTTTTAGACTGCCTGCTTTACCTGCAAGCCTGCCTATTTCTGACATTGCAACAATGTTTGACTGTTGGGTTTGGCACGATTTTCATTTGCCACTTTCACTAACTATTGAATTTCGTGATACTAAATAGCATACCTGAAAAGGTAAAGGCCGGGGATTCAAAAGATGTAGTTACAGGGTGTCTAGTGACCGGGAAAACCGGGAATTGCAGGGAAATTTTAATTGCCGGGAAAAATCTGGGAACTGTCGTGGATATATTCAAAAAGCGAGCCCAGTCGGGGAAAATGAGCCGGAAACGCCATCGAGTGCCCTGAGCAAAGACTCGAGGAATCGCAGAAATATAGGCAATAAATTCTGCTAAGAGAGGAGCGCGGGCTCTACTCACCCGATGGAGTGTGTGTGCTACCTGATGCAAAGGGAACAGCTGACAAATCCAGTCCAAGTGTTAGATTAGACTGGATTGGATTGGGGGCACAAGACTAGGCTTGATCCAGCTTGAGCTACTAGGTTTAGTAACAAATGGGAAAGCCGCAGACCCCAATCCAAGCATTAAGCTGAAAGTATCCGAAAGTGTGCATCTGGCGGCCATGCGCCGTGCTGCCATTCGGTTATTGATGCGTGTGTGGTTGAGCGTTGTTTTCATTTGTGTTTCCGGAAGTGGCCTCTTCACTGAGGATGTCGGCGACAAGAAAGTGCTAGTTTATTCCGGACTGGATGAACCCGAATATTTCGGAATATGCAAGTTGGATTAAGCCCGTGCAAGATGATGCTCTCAGTGCTCAATGCCTTGTGTTGTAATGGTCTTGTATATTTAATTGCCTCTACAGTGGTCAGGGAATTTCATCTGAAATTGTCAGGGAAAAAACTGGAAAAGTCGGGAAATTTCAAAATAATGATTTGCTAGACACCCTGAGTTAGTTGGGGTAGCTGGAAAAATGGCCGGAGTTCTCTTCATAGTCCCTGAGTAGTCTGAAAATTTGATAAATGTACCCATAAATGTCGCTGAAACAGTAACCCAATATTGGGCGAAAATAATTTTTTTCACAAAGTTATTGAATTAAGAGTTTTGGTCCTCACCGTGTCTTTCAAAGCAAATCTCTACTGGCAACAGCAAAGTCTACGGACTGTAGACTTTGCTCCCAACCGACTTCGTTCCCAAATGAATGCTTTTAAAACTCGCTTCAGCAGACAAATGCTCGGCATTGTCCACTTTTAGACTGTCCGCTCAACCTGCAAGCCTGCCTTCCCCCAATGTCACGGCATTGAAAAACGCAGGTATATTTGAATATTGGTTTTGGCATCATTTTTACTTGCCAATTTCACAATACGAAATAGCTATATTTCGCGATACGAAATAGCATGGTGGAAAGGGTAAAGGCCGAAGTACTTCTTTAGGGCTAAACCACATGGGTGGCATTCTCGACACATAGTAGGCATCAAGAAAAACACTTCTTCGGCACCTCAAGGTCAGCATAAACATGCACGTTTGCAGGTATCTGGGTAAGACACATTGGCCCTTGTTTCAGCATTGCATACCCAAAAGTGTCTGGCGTGGTGCCAATCAATCTGCTCACAAGTTGACAGCCAGAACTTGCTCAAGGGTCGACTTGCCCAGCTGTATGGCTGGCTTGATTTGGCTGCCAAAAAGGCACTTGCTTGGCGTGTTTGACGTTTTATCAGCATACTGCATAAAATCGCTACATCTCTCAAACACGTTGTGAATGGCCAAGGCAAAAGCAAGGTCCATGTTCGTGGCAGGCAAAGCCAAAGCATCGTAAAAGGGCTTTGAGTAGAGATTGCCACCCTCTTACCAACGCTTGTTAGCTTGACGATTGCTAGGTATGTTTTGGAGACTAGGAAATTGGGGTGTGGCTTATTGGCTCAATAATATTGCATTATTTGTCGCCTTACAAGACCCAAATGGCAATATAGTTTTTTTTTTTCGCGAATGAATGTTTTTGGCGTTGAATATTAGTGGACCATATGCTGGGGAATCGGGGCGTCTCCAAGCAGTCCCTCGAAGCTGCGTGTTCCACTGCAGGTGCAGGTGGACCCGTACCTGGAGGATGCCATGTGCGCCTCGTGCTGCAAGCAGCAGGGCCCCATCTTCTGCAGGGACCTTGCCTGCTTCCGCTACTTCTGTCGCACCTGCTGGAACTGGCACCACACCGTGGAGAGCATGCGCAACCACAAGCCCCTCATGCGCAACAAGGCCAATTCCCGCTGAGAGCCCTCCTCTTCCTCCCCACCACCACCACCCCTTTCCTCTTCTCAAAAATCTCTCTCTAAGGGGCCTCCCTTTCTTTTCTGGCTGCCACCCCTCCCGTTTTTCTCGTTGTCTTTTTTGCTCCTCTAACATAACATTCCCTGTTACCGTTGTTTGTTACCATTTTCCCTCCGGCCTGGAAAAAAAAGAGCCACCCCCTCTCCCTTGTTTTCTTTCAGCTTTGTTCCCCTGCGCGTGTCGTGGTGCCTAGTTTGTTACCCGAGCTTTTCCCGGTGTCCCACCTGAGCTAAGAAAGTTTTGTAAACAGGCAGGTGCCCTGGAAGTCCTTTCTCTCTTTTTTTTTTTCAAGTGCTCATTAGTATAAGCTACTAATATAAAAGTGTTGTTAACCTGTTCTTGTTACTATCCATGGATGGGGTGGAAGCGTCTCCTGTTTTGTCCCCACTCTCTGGAGTGACGAGTCCTTTCTTCGTGCCTCGCCCCACCCTCGTTTTCCTGCGGAGGATGCCTTTCTCGTCTGGTCGAACAAGAGTTTTTATTTTGTGGGGCAACTGTGACCCTTTAGTCCACAAATCGCTGCGATAAAAAAGAGGTGATTCTTAGAGTTTCACGGGGGCATATTTATTAGTTTTATCTGTACAGATGGCACACTTGAAGGCGAGAGGATTTAAAAATCCCCTGTTGAGCCTTCCGTAGTTCTTAAGACCATTTTATTTCGCCCCCGCCCCTGCTCTTATAGCTTTGTTTTTTGCCAGACATAATCCTCAGCTGTAAACCCTCTACTAGTCAAGTCTTCCCCACCTTTTTTTTTTAACTTGCCGTTCCTCCTTTAAACACTTCATGCATCATTTGTAGTCCACTGCATTGCAAACTGTTTTGAACAGTTCCTGCAAATGCTGTGATGTTTTTATATTCCAGGTGCAATGTTTTAATGGCTCGGCATTTGCTGAGCGCGTGTAAGGGTGCATGAAGGTTGAGGTAATTTTCCAGAAATACCACCGGTAGCTGTGCATGGCTTTGACTCTCGAATGGAATACGGACCAAATTTCTAGACGACGATTGGATGCGAGGTTGTGATGCCTGAACTTTCTCTCCAAGCTTCATAGAGTTTGGGATCTGCAAATTTTTTGAGGTTTGTGTGCATTGGGAACATCTGAACCAATGTTTTCTGTTTTGTAATCCTGTATGAAAATAAATTCCTGCATATGAAGCTTGCCTTTGATGGTGGAAACTGTGCATGACCAGATTCATTTGCCCAGCATATACGCCATTCTGCAAGGTTCCATTCTAGACATTTGTGCGTTTTGTAGCATACTATTCACGAGCTCGTATGTGCCCTCAATCTTTCAGTTATTGTGCCATTGGTTTGTTTCCTTATTGCATGCTGTGTCTTTTTATTAATAATGATTGTCCAAGTGCAGAGCTTGTATTTTGCATTGCACAGACTCCTGTCCTGCTGCAATCACTATCTCAACTACGAGTCTCAGTGGTGTCGCAGACTGCGGCTTCCCACGAGTCGTGCAAATCGACAGCAGATGTATAGCGTCCCTTTTTTGTGCAGGGTCCCACTAAAGTTGCTTGAAATTGGAACTGCAAAACACCCACCCATTTAATGCCCAATATCCAAGCCCTTCAGTTACAATGGGTAGGCACTTCATGGTACCAAGATGTCTACCCATTGAACTCGGAGTCCCACTAGAGCGACAAACAGAAACAACAGATACCGACAAGCCAACGCAGCATGCACACAAAGGTACCTTTGGCAGGCTTACAATCACTCGTGCCTACTTCACAAGCACCAAAAAACTGCGAGCCTGCCAAAGGTACCATGGCACATGCTCTACTCTTGTGTTTTTCCGTTTGTTACTCTAGTGGGACTCTGGCATAAAGGGTTATTCACACGGGGGAAAAGAATCCCTCCCTTTGCTTCCCGGAATGTGCGGCGCATGATAACATTGTGGCTTTGTGAGGAGGAGAGCAGATTTACACAGAGGGGGGATGGGGTAGCTTTTGCTCAGACAACACGAACGGTCTCCACCTTAGAGTGGGGATCTCTTTGCAACAGATTTTAATAACGCCCTTGATAAAAATTATCACTTGCAAGTACTGCCAACCATTGTTCTGAAAACGTGCCACGAGCGGGTGTGCTGTTGCCATAAGCTTCTGAGGGTCGCTCATTTCAGTGCTGCACTGCCATTTGCTCCCCGAGGGCCGCTCAAGACTCGGGCCTCGTGCACTGGCGTATTAGACGCTACTTGAAAGTCAAACGCAAACATATCCAGGGGGCTTTAGACCTTGTTAGAGTAACTGTATATGTTCCGCCTTGTGGAGCAGAGTACCACAATGGTGCTTCCAGGGTGGCCATGTTGGATCCAAAGCCGCACTGCGGGAAGCGACAGTCGCTTCTGCAAGAGGCCCAGATGTGCGAGCTACTCGATTGTCCTCGCTGTCGTTTTCCCAGACTTCAGAGACATGTTTTAAAACATTGCTCGCTTGACGATTATACTGTATCCAGTGGCTACACATAATGTTGAATGGTCAAGGAACCTTCCAGTTTGTACTGTTTTACTGTAGGATGTATATTTTGCAAACACAAAGTGAAAAACATGATCCGCCCGAAACTCTGTGCCTGCAAGGTTGCTTTCCCGCAGAAAGCTCAGATCCAGCTCTGTGCACGTGGCTGCTTCTCCGCTAATACGGAGTTGGCGACTAAAGGAAAAGGAACGCGACACTCTGGCTGTGCAAACGGAGCCTACACAGTTGCTCTAGACCTTATTCATTATTAGCACCACCTCCCAGTGCCTGAGCAAACTAGTGAGCCTCCGTGCCACCTTTGAGGCTTCTCCATTGTCCCCACTCTGCCTGCATGGCATTCTCTGCAATAGTTCTTACAATGTTTTTCTGGGATGTGGTAGAGGCATTGGGTACTTCGAAAGTAGTTCGATTAGCAAGCCCGGTTCAGAAAGTTGTGTTGGTTCCGTTGAGAATCGCTGGAACGACGCAAAGAATCTGGTTTATTTGCAACTTTTTAGCACGGGCACCACAGAAAGGCATCTAGCCCATACGAGTGCCTGTGAGGCCTGTAGAGAGTGACAATGTGTTGGTTACATGTATATTGAAGGGAGTTGTGTGATTGAGTTCTGTCGTATCCGAGACAGTCACCGGACAAACTGCTTGCCGCACACAGTGTGATGAGCAATGCAAATAGCAACCTCGTGAAAGAATTGAGAGCCGCAGTTGTCCCGGTGTCATTACTGTTGCAGTTTTGCTTTGGATGCAACTGGCACAAATGGGTGAGGCAGCCTTGACCAGCCATAAATACAGTAATGGGGAGCTTATATTGGGGGAATTTTACAGAGCCCACAGGTAGAAGCAGGTGGTGTGGGTCCTGCCATTTTGCCACTGATAGTCCCAGGCTGTAAAATGCTACCATTCCAAGTTCCACAGTACAGCCTTCAGATTGAAAAGAAAAACTAACGCCCTGTATATTTACTCCAGTTAACCTATTATTTATCCATTGATTGCGCAGCGAGAGAGCAGTAGTGTGGCATCACTTTCCCATAACTGCGCTCTGCCAGTCATATCAAACATGGGTCGCCATGTTTGAGCACTATTGTGCTTTTTTAAACACTGGAATGTGTTGAAACTGATGAGTAGCCAGGGTCAGGCAAATCCTGGCCATGAGTCACGGAGGGAAATCATAAGAGGGTGGAATCGAAACATCTCTGCGCTACTGCTAAGTCACTGACAAGGTGAGAACAGCAGGGGGAGCTTACTTTGCAGAACCGAAACATCTCGGAGCTAAGTCCCTGACAAGGTGAGAACAGCAGGGGGAGCTTATTACCTTAACATCTCGGCGTTCCACGCACCTCGAGCGCGCACCCGTACACCCAAAGCACAGTGGAAGCAAATACTTTACTAGAAGAATACAGGACACTTGTCATTTGCATTAGACAGAACGACGGCTGTGTCAAATGCTCCCCTGGTGGAGTGGGTTATTTGGCGACGATTCTGCCCCTCTCTCACCGCCAGAGCACGCGACGAGGCTGTGCCTCAAGTTAAGGACTCGTTGCTCAACTATAGGGAGTATTCACTGGACGCCATATTTGTGGGTGCAGAGTAACACCTTTTGGCGGGCTAGTTGGTTCATGATTTGTAGAAATAAATGAACTGTGGAAACACATTTGTGGGTGCTGTTTAGAGCGCATGCTCAGAACGAGCTCACATCAATAGGCTGCTAAGATCGGCACTTTTGATGGTGCGGAATGCACGTTGCAAAAGAACTGTGGAAGCTCCCCATCAGCACGCGCTCAGCATTCGCGCACACAGCTATGGCCGCCAGTGAATACTTCCTATACTTAGTATCAGCTTAGCATGGACTACTGTTGGCCGGACGTGCTAAAATTGCGAGCGAATTGCCCTGGACGGCGTCTCGGCGGCTGCGCGAGCGCTCGTGCGGCGCGAGCGCCAGTTAGGGCAGTCAAGGGTAGCGTCTCGCGCTGGCACAGTTGGCACAGCCTTGGCGGTTAGTCCATGCAAAGGTGAGACGAAGTATTGGGCAGGAGATCGAACTATAGGGGGCGCTTTATCGAGCTTGTTGTCCACACAGTGCGGTGTTTAAACAAAAAAAAAAAAAAAAAAAAAAAAAGAAATTGAACTTCGCCTAGCACGGTCTGGGCACGAGCGCTTCGCTTTGACCAGTGCTTTGGACGCATGAGGAGCGGCCTTCGAATCGTCATCTTCGATTTCTCGGATCAACAACAAACAAGAAAATTAGGTTTGTTGTCCACGCAGCTGCAGCATGCCGCTAGTGGCGTGACTGTTCGATCCCCTCCCCAATAGCTCTTTTGACCTGCACGTGTGCTCTGTTTTGAAGTGCCGGACGTGGGGAGGGGAGGGGAGAGAGAACAGTGAACACAAGGTAGTTTTCTATAATCACAGCTGTGCGCAGAACTGTGTTCGGGTAGCCACAGGACGCGATATACGCAATAACTATCAAGCTTGTGAACTACAAACTACACGGGACGCTGGAAGGCGTCGCTGTCATCTTGTTTTGAAGGTCCCGGTTGGCGCCATTTCGCCTAGCGATCATAAGCGGATTCTCGTTCCATCGTAACATACATGCAGCTGAAATAAAATTGTAGCAAAACTTTGCGGCTTACCATGGGGTAGGGCCATGTCAGCACAAGCGAGGTGTAGGATAAACAAAAGCACATGCGGATTCGCGCGAAAACAACGAATTTAAGCTTCCATTGACAACATTTTTTTTTTTTTTTTTTTTGGCAACAGCCCAGTGTTGCTATGCTAGTTCCCGGCGTGGTCAGCGTGGTAGCAGATTGGGGAAACGGTGGTAACTTGTAACCTTTTACTCGATGTGCCATCGAAAATAAATCCTATACCTCCCATTACTTGAATGTTTGTTCTTGACAAAGACCACGGGTAAAGAAGCTCAATTAAAAGTGTGTTCAACTAAAACCGTTCAACCCACTGGATCGTGCACCCCCATTCCGCGAATGCGGCCATCGAACGGCCATCTTGCATGCAGATTTTTTTTTTTTTCGTCTTGCTAGCGTTGCAGAGGTCGGCGGCAGCGTGCTTACGACACGTTTTCTACTCGTTCGTCGTCATTCGCCGAAGGAGTTTTTTTAATACCCTGTGCAAGCCGTGAGACTTGCCGTTGAAAACAGAAGGAAATTTTTACAAAAGCGCAGTGCCGCAGAAAAAAGAACACAATTCGTAGAAAGCAAGTTTTGCCGGTCTCGCGGCGTGATCCAAGCTTCCTTGCAGGGACGGCGCCAGGCTTTTCATAGTGAGGGGGCAGTGGGGAGGCGCACGGCATTTTTGGGGAGGCATGGGCTTTCGATCCAACTAAAAGAACAAATATTCAGGGACGATGACTTGGCGCTTCGGGAGTTTTTAATAGAAATCAGTTCAGTTTATTTCATTATTTTACAAGCTATCTACAACTCTGGTTAATGTAGCATTTCACGTACAAAATATTCAGGCATGTTTACATTCCGCAATACTAAATAAGCACGCTCACGCTTGTCGTGACTCATCATCCGCTCTTTAGGCAGTCCCCTGCACCGCGAAAGACCGGAGCACGTCAGCGATCATGTAGATGTAGTGACAATTTTCCTTCTTTGCTGAATACGCCTGGCAGTAGAGGAACACGGCGACTGATTTAGCTGCGCCACTTTTCTTTATCTGCTTGAAGGACCGATGATGTTT